CCCTCAGCCTGTCCTCGCAGCAGAGCTGCTCCAGCCCCTGCTGAAGTCACACGATGCAGCCAGCAGATGTTTAAGAGCTTGGGGAAAACACAATTTCATTTAGGTGCTTTAGTTAGCGTCAGAAGTTATCTCAGGCCTTAAAAACTCCCATTTTCCGTTCTTATATGTACTTAATAAACCTTTCCATAGGTCTGGGCACGAGTGACGATGAACCGACAGCTCCTTGACCATATGGATTCCTGGACTGCTAAGTTCAGAAATGTAAGTCCCGTCTCTAAGGATTGTGTGGTTTGTAACTGGGGGCTGCCGAGATGCGTTTTCAACATGACCTCAGTGTTGTGGATTCCAAAAACGTCACAGCTGTAAAGTTCATCCACCTTTGAAGGACGAGCCAAAGCATCTCGGGTGTGACGAGATTTGGTTCCCTGTGCTGTAGCTCGGATTGCTAAATTGATGTTTCCAATGTGTTTCTAACTCGTTTTCCTGGGCTCGAAGTGTGGGGTAATTCTGACCCGAAGGCTGAGGTTTTGTCAGACGATGCTGAGCAGCGTAATAAAAAGCAAAAAGAAAAACCTTAGTCTTACCGATAGTGGCAAAACAATTACTGAATTCATCTTTGGGTTGCCTCTTCAGTCACAGCATCTATCAAGTACATAGTTTTGCTTGTGTGTTTTGTTGTTTGGGGTTTTTTTTATGTAATAAGATTCGTGAAAAGCAAAGATGAATATAGACCGACACCAGATTCCTAAGCACCTGTTGTTAAACCTCTGGTCAGCTTGCCTCACTTCCCAAGCCTCACTTCCCAAATCCTGTCATGTACAAATCCCACGCGTGGCGCTTATCAGCTCCTTGAAACAAATGTGAGAGGGAGTGGACTCATCAAAGGAAAAATAATCTTTGTGGATAGAGGGCTGTGCTTCATAACACCCCTTTCCTCATTGTTCGGAAAAGCTTTATCTGGTATCTAGAGATTTGTTTTCCTGATACCTTTATGTTGACTTTTCTGCCTTTTAGAAGGTTTTGCAGAGTCGTTTGACCTCTGCCTAACTCAATAATCTAATTTAATTACTTTCCTCCTTGGTTGGCTTCAGGATTTGTGTATTTGCTTTGTTCCTTTGTGATTGTAACGGTGATGAGCAGTAGGATATGAGCTAAAGGTCAGGGCTTTCCTTTACATTTTTGTTCTTTCTGACCTCTTGAATTTTCATCTTTTTCTTTCGTAGTGGATTAATGAGACTATTCTTGTGCCACTTGTCCAAGAGATCGAGTCTGTGAGCACGCAGCTGAGACGAATGGGGTGTCCAGAACTACAGATCGGAGGTAGGGTGAGGCAGCAGCTCTGGGGTTCCTGGGGATGAAGGACTTGATTTGTTAAATATTATTGTGATGTTGTAATATTTATTTCTTTTTCCTTTCTGCTCTGTGTCGGTGTGGCCTTCGCTCTGTGCCACGTATTTCATGTTCTTCCCAAGACTTCTGGATGTAGTGAAGAAGTCACACTTGATCATTTTGCACAGAATTCATAAATGTCTCTTTTTTTTCTTTCCTTTTTTTTTTTTTTTTTGTCCTCCCCTGAACTTACTGCTGGGCTCAAATTATCATATTAAATTGTCAGAAACCCTTTCAGGACAGACGTGCTGTGAACTCTCAGTGTCTCCCGTCCTACGTGCTTTACCGAATTCTTCCTTAAAACAGAATCCCAGAATGCTAGAGGTTGGAAGGGACCTCAAAAGATCTAGTCCAACCCCCAAAAACTCGCTTCTTTTGGAAAAAATTGTTTTAAAATTCCCATGAACCATTCTGTTTCCCTTCTCACGGTATGGTTCTGAAGGAAACGCTTCTCTACGTGCTTCCAATTCCTATCCCCTTAACCAAGGCGCGGGTTTCACGTGCTGCCGTTAAATTAAATTCACCTTTTGCCGGGCTGCTCCTCGTAGCATCTCCTCAGGAGCCACATCCGTTGCTGATCGATGCCGGCCTTGTTCCCACCTCGTTACTCTCCCTCTGCTCTTCCAAGTGGGTGTCGATTGCTCGTAGCTTCTGTACTCTGTGAGGTAAAGCAGACGCTTACTACTTCAGCGGAATCCAAGTGAGTTGGTCGTAGCTGACCCGCGCCGGCTCTTTTTGTGTCGCAGAAGCCAGCATCAGCAGCCTGAAGCAGGCAGCGCTCGTTAAAGCCCCGCTCATCCCAACCCTGAACGCTCTGGTGCAGTATCTGGATCTTACACCAAACCAGGAGTATTTGGTTGAAAGGATCAAAGGTACGTGGTGTCGCTGACCTTAACACGTTTCGGGTGCTGGTGGCGTCAAAATTTTCCTCAGCGGGGCCGGCGGAACAGTCGGGGCCGGAGTGAGAGCTGCTGTGGAGCAGGAGAGGCGTTTCTTTGCAGCTTTCTCTTTTTATAGCGATGCAATGATGTGGGACATGGATGTAAATTTCCGAATGTTTTTGTAAAAGCTTTAAAATGAGCTGGGACGAAATGAGCTGGATTTAATCCCTTCGGTAATCACAAATCTAAGTTGCCCTGTAAATTTACCTCCCTGTGTTAATATTAACAAGTGACAGGACAAGAGGAAATGACCTCAAGGTGCAGGAAGGGAAGTTTAGGTTGGATATTAGGACGAATTTCTTTACTGGCAGGGTTCTCAGGCGCTGGAAGGGATTGCTCAGGGCAGAGGTGGGGGGATTTAAGAGTCGGGGCAGACCCCATGCTCAGGGGTCTGGTTTAGTTGAGGACTTGTCAGTGTTGGGTTAATGATTGGACTCGATTTTAAAGGTCATTTCTAATCTGGGCGATTCTGCGATTTTTTTTAGTATCTCTCCAAGCATTTCATGGATTGAATATTTTCTATTTTGTACACCAGGAACACGTATGAAGCCCCTGAAACTAGCACGAAACACGGCTTTCGCACCCTTTCAGCCAGCAATAACCGAACTGATCTCAATTTGCAGAGCTCTCCCAGGGAGGATGCATGAGTTCTTTCCGATGGAACAGAGGAGGAGATTTCAAAGGCCGGAAGTGGGACACCGACTTGCCCACCGACTCCTCAGTAAGTTTTCAAAGACATTTTCAGACGACCCCTCAGAGCGAGTTGCCTTTCAGCACAGGTTTTGGAAGCAGTAGCCAGGAAGTCTTTTGAGGAACGTGGTAAAATCCTGTTTGCAGGAAGGACAGCATCTCGGTACAAGTAGTGAATTGACAATTCAACTGAGCTCATTAAAATAATTAAAAAAGAAGACTGGAACAATCCAGGGAGTAGAAAACAGGCTTTACAGCACGAATCTTCAGTTGAACTCTGTATGTGAAAGCAGAGTCAGGGGGATTTTGTATTTTTTTCCCCACTTTAAACAGATTTTCAGTTACCTGGGAGAATAAAAACCAGGAGATCAGAGTGTCAGAGCTTCACAGCTTTGCTGACAGAGGTGTAATGAGATTTGATTGCTGGGGGCTGAAGTTGCACAAAATCAATCTTGAAATAGGATTTGATTTTCTCTTTGGGAAGATGATTAAATATTTGGCAGCGACTGGCCACGGAGCAGCTCTTGGTGCCTCAGTAGACAGCAGGGTGAGCAGCTCCAAAGTGTTTAAAGATCGAGAGGCAGAGTAACTCGCCCTGAAATTCAGTCTTTTCTCAAAACCAGCTGGGAGAGGTGGTGTTGGGCAGTTTATTAAAGCTCTGAGAATTCTGGGAAAGAAGTTCCGATACAAGAAGTGAATAGAAATACTTGCCGTGACGTTTTGACATTAATTGTACTGCACACAATTACCATAAAAAAACCCCAAATACGCAATTTGATTGTTCATCACGCTGCAAGTAACACAGAGCTGTGATTTCCAAGGTGCATCTCCCGGATATCTTGAGAATTCTGGCATTCCATCCAGAGAAACTTTTGTTTTATCTGTGAAACAATCCCGTTACATACAATTAACACGGAGAGAATCAGATTACAGATAATTTGGTGAGGTTGCCCACAGAAAATGTTGAAAACTCTCCAGGAAGGGCTAAAACACAAATAAGAGGCTGGGCTGTGGTTTTCCAGGTACTTGTTTTAGCACTTTAAAAATGCCAAGATTTTGAAATAAGAAGACTCGTGGCCAGCTCAGGTTTTTCCAGTGATTTTTGTTTTGCCTTTTGTGAGGAATAAAGGAGAGATTTGCTCCGTAGGCACAGCGTCAGCAAAGCTGTCGTTTGATTTCATCTGCCCTTCCTGGCCACATCCGTGTTTTTAAGGAGGGAGGTTTGTTTCTCTTTGCCCAGATCATTATGCACGTGTTCTGCACCTACCTCGACTCCAGGCTGCCGCCTCACCCCAAGTATCCCGACGGCAAAACCTTCACTTCCCAGCACTTCGTTCAGACGCCGGATAAACCAGGTACTGGCACTCGTGTTTAAGCTGCTCTTTGCTTCTCAGATCGTGTTGGCGCCCTCAAACTTTCAAACCCCTTTCAAACCCCTTTCAAAC